TCTGAGATACAAATTTAATACTTGATACTCGTGACGTTTAATATGCAGAACAACTGTCAATGTCTCATTAAAGTTATCGATGGGATTATTGTTTTGATCAACTAACTGTACAGTTATTGAATGAATAGCTGTTTTGTTTAATCCGTAATATATAAGGTTTAGCGGAGATTGAATAACCTTTGTTCCTGTTTTCCCACTCGGGAAAAACTCATATATTGAATGACTTTGAAGTTGGTTGTCGAATGATCTATATGCTATATTACACATTACTTTTATAGAGTTAATTGTGTTTAAATTAGCAGCTTTTCCCGACCGATGAGCTTCATACATTGGCTCATAGGTTCTCTTTTCAAATCCAAAAACAGATGCTATACTGTTTGGAATATTTAACTTTAGTATTCCATTACATTTAATGTATGTTCTAAAATCGATGGGGTCAATAGATACGTTGAATGTTAGCTGTGTTCTACATTCATTATTAAAGTGGAATAACTCTTTTGAAATGTTGTTGTTAATATCTACAATTCCATAACATCCTTCTTCCAAAATAAATATAAACGTTTTTACTTTATGTGTATGATTTAATAATGGAATTACTTCTATCTCCAGTTGGTTATTAGTTGAATTTATATTTGGAAATAAATTACGTGTTTTTAAACATAACAAAGCTATTTCCAAATCCTCGTAAACGTTTAGAGATGGAAAATAATTTGTAGATAATATAGTTGAATTCCCAGTCAAACTTATTGTAATAGATTTATACATTGTAAAAATTCAAGGCATAAATGACCACAGTTGAACGTATTCAAATCTTGATAGTTAGAATAGTTGTATACTATTTTGAACTGTCTGAAATAATGTTGTAATTCAATTGGTGGTGACAAATCACCAAAGCTATCAAAATATACAACTTTGTCCTTACTTTTATAAAACGCTACCTAATGGCTTCCGTCGCCTGAAGATATATCCAAGTTTAATATACCACATTCAATCGAATGCGGTTTTTCAGATAAGTTATCACGTGAAAAGACTCCACGGAAATGATTGATTTTAAACTTTTCAACATATTTTATAATATCTTATGACGAAAGCGGTCTATCATCAGTTTTTTATTCTTAACCTATTCTTGTTTGATTTCAAACCACTGCCTTTTTTCTTTTTGAATTTTGAACCGCATTATACACACTAGCACCTCGAGACATCAAATTACCAAGTGCTGACAGTCCTGCAAATATAGGTACTAAGGGAATTATACCTCCTGACTGTCCTGGTGTTAAAATCAGTATCTTTCCACCATTCTTTTTCTTTAACGTTCTTCTTTTCTTCGCTGCTAGTATACCATTTTTTTTTATGGTACGTTTCCGTTTACTTTTACAACCCATATCTATTTTTCTTTTACCTTTCATTAGTATTTATAGGGAAGTTTATAAAATGCTTTATCAGTCTTGACTGATTTATACTTACGAGTTGAACGCGTTATCTATAACTGATTATAAATTGGAAATTATAGAGTATTTATAAGAAAAATGGATTTGATTGAACAGAAAGATAAATTAGATGTTATAAATGTAGATGCTCGGATAGTAAAAAAACTGTCAAGACACGGTTCGTTATTACCCGATACTACACGTGCCATACTAGTTGGGCCCAGCGGTTCGGGAAAAACAAATATAATGTATAATCTGATCAAAATGGGTTAAGATTTGAAAATATTTGTTTATACTCTAAGACTTCTAATCAGGAAAAATATGTTTTATTAAAAAAAATAATAGATGATATACAAGGTGCTAATTTTTTCATATTTACAAGTGCTGAAAAGGTTATAAAACCAAACTTGACTAAGAAAAATTTTATTATAATTTTTGATGATGTGATATGTGGTCCGCAATCTGTAATCAGAGAATCCTTTAGTATTGGCAGACATTCAGGTGCTAGCTCTGTATTTTATTTAGCACAAACATATTCTAAAATACCGAAACAGTTAATAAGAGATAACGCAAACTTTTTAATGATACTGAAACAAGATGATACAAATTTACGACATATATTCAACGATCATTCGTCTGCAGATATGGATTTCTCAGAATTTCGGAAAATTTCTCATTTATGTTGGAATAACTGTGATTATGGTTTTATGGTTATCGAAAAAACTCGGGAAATGAATGAAGGGAGATATAGATTTGGTTTTCATACGTTTATTAAAATAAAATAAAATAGTATTGTATTATTTCAACATACATCTATAAGATTGTACTGAAATTAGTTGTTGTTAATTATTAATTTTCTGATATTATAAACCATTTAATAGAGAACCATATAAAAATGTATCCTTAATATTATTTTAATAAAATATTATATATATATATATATATACCGTAACACAGTTATTATTTTCATAGTGTAACCAGTAGTCATACGATACAGTTATATTACACTTTTTATTTACAACGAACAAAGAAAAAGCCTTGTTGAACAATTTAATAACATCAAAAAAAAAAAAAAAATATTAAACGAAAAATAATGGAAATGAAACGTGGTGTTATAGATTCTGAAAACTATTTCCATGAAGCATTTAAACCAATAATTGATCCATTGAGTACACGCATAGAAAAAAAAAATAGTCCATGTAACTCGCAACAAAATGATAAAAACCAAAATACAAAATATGGAAACCTCGTGCACTAGTGACGAAGATGATGATAAATTAAATTCATCATTTGAAAATTTTATAAATAATAAAAGACCAACATTACAACGTTACGATAAATCCTGTGGCATGTATTATGATAGAACTAATGGCTTATACAAAATAGGAGATAACTCAGTGACTTTTTAGAATGGTAACTTACAGTTACTTAATAAATACTATAATTGGACTGAAGGACTATGGTCTTTATTGTGTGAAAAAGTACCAAAAAATTACACTCTAGAAGATACAGAATCTTATTATAACATTTTGAAAGCATCACGTGTTTATTTAAAAGCAGATGGAAAACCTAAAACCTCAAGATACTTTAAATGGGTACAAATTGTAAAACCTCTGTATGAACGAATGAAAAATGAAGAAAAACAGTTAAACGAAGAAATAGCTAAAATTAAAACTCCACGATTTAACTTAACACCAATTAACAAACATTTATCGAGCTCTAAACGTAGTAATGTGGTTAATAATACAACTGTAACAAATGAACCATTTAATTTTGATCCCGTAGCCAACAGTTCTATGGTTATAGAACCTGAAGCTCAAAATATGTTTAGTTTTACTTCAACATCACAGACTAATAAGTCAGGTTCTGGTTTATATAAAGATGTCTTACCTCAAACCCAATTAGTTTATTATGACGATCCGAATGAACTATTAACTAGATTAAATCTTTTAACATCATCACAAAGTGCTGGTAATACTGGTGTTAATAATGAAATTATATCTATTTTAGAGGAACTACGTGAGAGAAATATAATAGTATAATGACAACTTTAGAAAATATAGCTAACGAGTTACATCAACCAGCGAGAAAAATATTTCCTAGACGTAGTGTAATAACTCGATTTAAAGATGATCTTTGGCAATCTGATTTAATTGATATGCAGACACATGCTAGAAAGAATAATGGTTTTAAGTTCATTTTAATTGTTATTGACACATATACGAAATATCTTTGGTTTGAAGCACTGAAAAATAAAACCGCAAAGGAATGTACAAAAGGAATGATAAAAATACTAAAAAAAAATCAACCAAAATTATTACAAACAGATAATGGTACAGATTTTTATAACAACGAATTTCAAAATATTATGAAAAAATATAATATTAAACATTATTCAACATACAGTAGTACAAAAGCATTCCAGCTTTATAACAACGAATTTCAAAATATTATGAAAAAATATAATATTAAACATTATTCAACATACAGTAGTACAAAAGCATTCCATCTGAAATAATATTATCATTAACGATAACATATAAACTACCCACTGAATGCTCAATCTATACAGCCGAAGCACTGGCAATATATAATGCTGTGTTATATATACTACCTACATAACAAAGAAACAACTCCAAACAACTACCTCATAATCAATGACTCAATCAGTAACATCACAGGAATTCAATACACAATGCAGGGAGGCCTTCAAAACATTGAATGTCAAACAATTGAAAGTCAAAATCTTGAACGTCAAAATATTGAACGATAAAATCTTGAACGTCGAAATCTTGAACAAATAAATAGTTTCCGTCAAAACTTTGAACGTCAAAATCTTGAACAAAAATATAGGTTTCGTCAAACCTTTGAACGTCAAAATCTTGAACAAAAAAGTAGTTTCCATCAAAGCTCTGAACGTCAAAATCTTGAACAAAAAATTGTTACCGTCAAAACCTTGAACACAAAAATTGTTTCGGTCAAAACCTTGGACATTAATACTTTTTATCGCAATTTGTTTTTCTCGTGCTGTTCTAGATATCACATTAATTTTAATTGTAAAATATTATATTTGCAATATTGGAAATTAAATACTATTCCTTGTAAATATTCAAACGCTGTACTTTGTCTAACTATTTTTTTTTTCGCAGTATTGACGTCACTCTAGTCATGCTCACGAGGGCAAACTGTGTCCTTGTGAGTAGGTTACGGATTGACGTATTACGGTCGACGTAAATCGGTCTTGGGACAACTATCCAAATGGCCGGCTTATAGGGACCCAGTTTTTTATTTTTACCGATTTCTCTGAGACTGACTGAGTGGGACACAGATTTTTTTCTTGACATCGTTTTTATATTTTCGAATACTCACGGGGACACTATGCGATGACTGTCACCATCGTCCTGCTACCGTGGTGTACTCCGAAAAAATTAAAATCAAAGACCGACTAACGAGGACAAAATTTGGGAAATCGACGATTGACCACGGGTATTGGTTTTTCGTCGACGCCGTCTTCGGGGTCGATTTTGAACGCAGCGGAGCCGTCGGGAAACATTATTTACTCAACGATGCCGTTCACTGCCATCGACCTGACGGCTGACGGCTGGTGTGAACGCGTATAACAGCAAGTCGGTGCGTAGCAGTATGGCAACTTATAGACCGTACAGGGCAATCGATATCTGGCAAGGGGGTGTTCGCGGATGGCCGTGGTTTCGCTGGATTTCGTGTACGGAGTGAAACCTGCCATCGGAATCCGGCGGACGTAGACCGCCCGATGTCAACCCCGTCGACGGCGACCGTCAAAAACCGATTCAAAACGTTCAATCCCGAAATTCTCGAACCGTGTCCCCGTGAGATTTTCGATATTTTTCGGAAGTCAACTTCGTGAGTTTTCATCTGACGGCTTTGAAACTTTCAAACTTGATAGTAAATCGAAAAAGAAACGTGAATGGACAGAGGTGGAATAGAGCTAGGACAAATATTAATCGAGATATAGTGGTAGGAAATAGTTGAAAGTGATTTCGACTTCGGATGTGAGTACCGGGGAGTCGGTCCGCAAACAACCCGGACACTTTGGATTTCACCGTGCATCGTTCCATCCTCCTTTCCCCCAAGATATTGTCACCGTCAGTCGGTCATTTCCGAGATTGAACCCTACGATCCGAAGTTCCCGGACGGCGTGCCCCGGGAGTCGGTCCGCAAACCACCAGGACACTTTGGATTTCACCGTGCATATTGTTCCATCCTCCTTTTCCCCAAGATATTGTCCCCGTCAGTGAGTCTGTCACCGACGTTCCCCAGATTGAAGTCCAATTGTTGATTCAAAAAAATTCTTATCGCGAGCTTGTTACTGGGTCGTCGGTTTCAACCGTGACGATGTCCTCGTCAGTAAGTCATCATTCAAAATTCCCGTCATTGATGTCAACCTGTTGATTCAAAAAATCTTATCGGCCGCCACATTACGTAACCCTGATTATTGTGGACGGTCTGATGAGACAGAAGCCTATGAAAATTTTCTCATAACCCACTGTCGGGGACAATGTTGGGGAATTCACAGATTGAAGGGAGATATTTATTTTTTCATCACGCCGTCATCGGGGTTGACTTTCCCCGAAACGCCACTGTTGGAAAACAGAATGTCAAAACTACAATTTGACACCGGGAAAATTCGTATATCTACTATGTCGGTGTCCCTGTCCCTGACATCGTCCTAATAAGGACCAACTTGATCCTTGATCACGGCCATTGGGACCAGTGACACGGAGCGCCTGGACTCCTGGCCAAAGATTTGGCCCATGCCATTCAGGCTCTCTTTGACCGGTCGTCTCAGGAGTTGCCTATGCTTGATCCCAATGTGCCGTTTCATTTTGTTGTCATCAGTTTTGTAGGCACAAAATGGACAGTATTTTATAAGCTGCAAAAAAAGATACCATAAGTTTATTGCTAGGTGGGAAGGTATGTTGTGCAAAGGTCACTTACGCGTTGTGTAATCAAACTATTTTCTTTTTCTGCGACGTTTAGCCTAGTTCTCCTGGTCGGCAATGGAGATGAACCTATGGAAAAAACTAGTATTAATAACACAGAACACCACGCGCCCATGGTTATAACAAAAATACTCACTGCGGGAGATCGAGGAGTCCCGTGACTCGGGTTTGTCCACCCTTAATGGGCTCGTTACTGTGGGAAAATATTGATATTAGTAAAACCAAAACACCACACCCCTGATTTCATTAACACTCACGTCCGATGACCGACGACGCATTCGACGACTGTTGACGTTCATATGAGGCACGTGAAAATTTCGTGTCTGATTGTAATATTCCGCAGACTTCAAACGGTGGTCGGATCCTCATTTGAAGGCTTGTCTGGCCCTTTTGCGCTACAGGGATTCAGGCGAGTGTCTGATTATAATATTCAACAGACTTCAAATCATCCTACCGCATATATTAGGCGTTGACCTGTTGATTTATCAAAAATTGGAGTGGTATCCCCGAAGGCCTAATCCACTGTCGTTCACCGACTATTCAAAGTTTTTACCACGTCCTTTATCATCTTTTCTTTATTTCCGTAAATTAAATAATGAATTTTATTCTCCTTCGCCAGATTTTCAATCGCATATTTCGAAATGTTGGTTTTGTCATACTCCTGTACCGCCAGATCGTAAATAATTGTTACTCTGTCGTCGTGGACTTGTTCGTCGTACCGGGCCTTCACCCGTCTGACGAACGACTGCGTGATCTCGGCCCCATCATGAGCGGCGTACTCGTCCGACGTCTGCAGCCTCTCGACGATGTTATCATGGGTCATGTTGACATAGGCCTGATGGCCGAATATCTCTACAAAGCTGAAATAAGATACACATTTTCATCATTTTGTATTCGTTGATTTTACACATTAATTAACTCACTTTTTCGACACCTCTGCCTCAAACAACGGCGTCGCACCGACCATTTCCAGTCTGTCGTGCCGGCGGATGGCCTCTCCTTGCTGGAGTGCCACCGCCACCGACTTGCTCACGTCGGGGTGGTGGCCTCTGGATTTCGGTTCGACCATCCGTCTAAAAACGCTGGCCGACAACCGTGAACCATAAATTTTATTTACGTTGTCATACAGTTTTGTGATTCTCTCGCCCTTGTTAGTCACAAAAAACTGTTTCGCGGAAGTCATCACCCGCTGACGTAGTGAAAAGTACCTTTAAAGTTTATACGGTTGTATAAACAATATGAGGATAAACCACTTACCGTTCCATGAGCTCGGCCTTGCCATGTCCTATTACTAAGGTGGCCGGCTCCTTGTCACCGGTCTTGTGGGTGGAGACCGTAACCACAGTCTTGTCGCCCTCGACTCTACGGCGCTCCCACTCTTTTTAGCATATTTGCCACCACACCTCTCCTCTGCTTGGAGGTCCACATAAAGCGGATGGACAGGCCGCAAACGACCTTTCGCCAAATCCCGGAGAGCTGAAAATGCAAATGGTGGAATCAGATATTGTGTCGTGTCGGGTTAAGAGATCAGATTTACTTACGTGTTTCTGCGCCGGAGTGGACGTCTTCTTGCTAGAGACCTTGACCATACCACCGGGGCCGAAGTGTTCCTCCAACTAGTCAAGGAACGGCGGTAGGTCAAGGTCTATTTTTGCCATAACGTTTTCAATGTCCGTGTACTCGGGGAGAACGAGAGCTTCGACACCCCTGATTTCATTAACACTCACGTCCGATGACCGACGACGCATTCGACGACTGTTGCCGTTCATATGGCGCACGTGAAAATGTCGTGTACCTTGATGTGCCCGGGACTAACTTCCATTGTTCTTGATCTGAAACAGTAACGTTAAATGATAATCGTAAACTCATTAGTTTAGTATGAATGGTAAATACCCGGTTCGTCGTCGACGTACGAGTCAATGTCTTCGTCAACCAGAGCGACATCATCTGTAAATTAATAAGATTATGAAGTGTATAAAACAATTCTTGAGAATAACACTTACGGTTTTCAATGTTGACCAATAAGCCATCTCCCTAGACAGCCACGACGGGCGTAAATGTCAGCGACTCCTCCCCTGAAGGTTCTTCCACTGGTGGTAACGGCGTGCCGTCGGCCCATGACGGTACCGGAGACGATCGCGGAAGGTCATCGAGATGAGGTGGAGATGGTGTCCACCTCAAGTTTGCTGGACATACATCCCGAAGTGCCCGGGACCCAATTAAAGTGTTCTAACTCTGAAACGATAACGTTAAATAAATATCGTAAACTCATAAGGTGAGTATACACGGTACATACCCGGTTCTCCGTCGACAAATATATATGTGTCAGTGTCAACCAGAGCGACATCATCTGTAAATTAATAGGATTATAAAATGTATAAAAATTCTTGAAAATAACACATACGGTTTTCGACGACATCGGTTTCAAAACGTATGTGGTTGTTGATGGCTGGGGCATCAGCCTCAAAACCGATATGTTGGTGGACTGGGGCATCAGCCGTCATCATCGTATCATTGTTATCATCATCGGACATAGCACAAACGTCTGCGACCGGTTTATCGCCTGTAAAATATTGCATTACACATTATACATTATTACACAGGAGAGGCCAAAAATGAAATTGAAAAATCATTATACATTTGATGGGTGGCTTCGGAAAATATGCCGAGCGGTGGTGGATCTCAACCAACCGCTTTACGGTGATCCGCTTGCATTTCCTGCCTTTGAAAACAACTAAAAAATCAATATCAATAAGCGATTATAATTTATGAGTAAAACTATTATTCATTATTTATTATAAATACTGTTACCTTTTTCTTTTGATACTTTATTGGATGATTGTGATGGTGGTAGGGACTCTAAAATTTTAACAAAGAGACGTCACTCAATAATTTATACGGTAAAAAGAAAAATTTAACTGTTACCTTCTAGGACCACAATACCGGGGGCCTCTGGAACGGTAGTTTCCAATACCACGATCCCGTTATTGTCAGATAATGGAGGTGGTGGTAGAGACTCTAAAATTTTAACAAAGAGACGTCACTCAATAATTTATACCGTAAAAAGAAAAATCCGTTAGTATGACGAATATTTAGTATACGTAATTAGTATACGTTCACTAGCGCTGCAACGGCGGGTCGTGTAGAAAAATTTTCGAATATTGATCGAAATCAATTCCGAGACTATAGTGCTGTTGAAATTGTCCCCGTCATGAGGTCTCATTGCCAGGTAAGGAAAAAAAAAAATTTCGAAGACCTACTCACGGGGACATAATTAGGGAATTTTGAGGATTGAAGGAAGATATTCATTTTTTTTCGATGCCGTCTTCGGGGTTGACATTGTCACTCCCAAGAGGTCATGAAGGAAAATTTCGAGATGGTAGCAGACGTTCGATGAAAATATAAAAATTCGATGACCTACTCACGGGGACAATATTTGGGAATTTCGAAGATTGAAGCAGGGTATTCATTTTTTTTCGACGTCGTCTTCGGTTTTGACATTGTCCCTCGCTATAGGTCTCTATACCAAAAAATCGAGATTGACGTTCGAGAAAATATAAAAATTCAAAGACCGACTCACGGGGACAATATTTGGGAATTTCGAGGATTGAAGCGGGGTATTCATTTTTTTCTTCGGTTTTGACATTGTTCGTTCCTGGTTGACTCATCGCTCCGCATTTTAAACGTACATTTTTTCAGATGCAATGCTCAGGTACTAGCTGAATTTCCACACTACCCAAGGGGTATCAGCTAAAGCGCGTTTTTTTTTTTAAGTGGTATCCCCAAGAGGCCTAATCCACTAACGTCCCAACGTCAATCATTTTTTTTTTATAGTGATTTCCCATTCGGACTAATTCACTGACGGCACCTAACGCTTATTGACTCTGTTGATGACTGCCTTAACTATCCGGTCTTTGTCACCGTGGATGAAATAGTGGATTCTATTGTCTTTTGATATTTGAATTATGGCATGTTTTGATATATTGGTGTGGTCGTACTCTTGTATCGCCAATTCATACAAAATGTCGATTCGCCACTCTTCGACTAAAATGTCATACCTTGTTTTTAAGGTTTTTACAAATGACGCTGTGATCTCTGCTCCACTATTTGAAGTAATCTCATCCGAACCCTGCAGCTTCTCTTGTATCAGAGACTCCGTCATATTCACATAAAGTTCATTACCAAATATTTCGTCGAAGCTGTGATAAAATAAAATTGCTATCATCATGTCAATCGTTGATTTAAAAACATTCAGTAACTCACTTTGCCATCACTTCTTGCTCGAAAGCCGCCGTTTTGTCCACCATATTAATCCTGTCCTGCCGGCGGATGGCTTCGCTCGCATCCGGAAGGCGGTAAAACTTTAAAGCCGTGCTCTCTCCATGCTGGAGGCATGCTGCTACGGCTTTACCGACTTCCGGGCGGTGACCTCGGGACTTCGTCTCGATCATCCGTCGGAAGACGCATGCCGACAATTTCGATTTGAATACACCTGCGGATAGTTGTGAACCATAAATCCGATTGACGTCATCGTACAGCTTCACAACCCTTTGCCCCTTGTTGTTGACGAAAAAATGATTGTCCCTTGTTATTATTCTTTGCCGTAGTGTATAGTACCTGTAAAGGTTGAAAGGTAATATTGCATAAAATGATACGGAGATTCCTGCGTGTACAGACGTAGTTGAACACTTACCGTCGCATGTGTTCACTCATGGTATCGTCCATTACCATGGTGGCTGGCTCTTTATCGCCGGTCTTGTGAGTGGTGACGGTTAGGACGGTGCTATGTCCTTCGACATACCGTTTCTCCCACTAGTCCTTCAGCAAATTACTGACGACCTTGCTCCTTTGTTTTGAAATCCACAGCAGGCGGATAGCCAGCCCACATGTGGTTTTCCGCCATATGCTGCTGAGCTGAAAATTAAAATGGTGGAATAAGATATTGTGTCGTGTCAGGTTATTGGACCTTATGTACTTACGTGTTTTTGAGATGGGGTGGATGTTTTGTCCGAGGAAACGTTGACCATACCCCCAGGACCAAAGTGCTCCTCTAGTTGATTTAAGTAGTCGGGTATGTAAGCTTTAATTTTCCTCATCACTTTTTCGAACTCCGAGTACTCTGGATACTCGCCTGCTTCGGCAGCCTTCCTCTTAAACAACTCCCCTGACTGTTGTTTCAGCTTCTTAGAGTAAACAATTTTTAATTTTTGTTGGAGCAACTTCATTTCACTAAGTGTTTTTTGGCTCGGACCACCGTCAAAACACTTAGGAAATGTTTTGTCTTCCAGTGAATACATATTTATGGCCGAGCAGAAGAGTGAATGGAGTTTTTTTAAAAAATTTATCGATGTTGATCTCATGGTTTGACCCAATCTCTCTCGTCTATAAAAATAACATAATATATTTACAGGTTAGGTTAGAAGTCAGTTGGGGTGCTAGAACTTACTGTTCAAAGTATACGATGTATGGCTCTTCGGAACAGCTCATTAGTTCTGACCAGTTGCGTGCTGGCGAGCCACGGTCGCTGAGCCACGTGGAAACGAACTTTAATACTCTCGAAACGTTTGCAATATAGTTTTTGCACGCTTGAGAGTCTTTTTCGTGGCCCATTTCAAGGTACCGTGAGTGGAGCACAATAATTGGATGGTTATCGGGGAGTTTATCTTGGTACCCTTTATCAGCCAACTGCTTTCTGACTTGCTTGTACCTAGAGTTAACCAGAATGAAAACCGTTCATACACATAACAGACAATTGATTTTACAATGTTATCGTCAATAACTCACGGCGATTGCGACTCCGTTATCGCGACGTTATCATCGCGGACCGTGATTTCGGGTGAAGAGGATACAGGTGGTGGTTGTACCACTGGTGAAACGTAACACTTTGCCGTTGATATTGTTTCATCCTCACCGTTTTTCGACCTGAAAGGGGCGAACGGGTCCTCGATCGTCGGGGCGTCGGGTAGACCCCAAGAACCTCCATACGCTTTGATGCGCCCCATCACACAAAGTCTAAATCGTGAAAAAAACTCTGTTTAAGTGGAATGCACATTCAATTTAAGAAAAATTCATATAAAGTTACTTGAAGGCGATTTTTCGGAAGGGTACATCATCCCAATATGGACCCAACTGGTCACGGATGACGTCCATCGGTATAAGCGACACCGATCGCATGGACTCTGACCCGTAAACTTTGCCGATGCCACGTAGGCTTTTTTCGATCGGCGACTTCAATTTCCTAGGGTGTCTTATTCTTATATGCCTTGTCATTTTGTTATCGTCGGTTTGAAATTTGCAAAATGGACAGTACTTTATAAGCTGCGGAAAACCAAGACATAAAAATATTGATAGGATGTAAGGTAACATTTGCAAAATAATACTTACGCGATGTGTTATATGGCTGTCCGCTTTTTCTGTGACGTTGAGTCGGTTGTTTTTAATTCTCAATGGAGACGGCGCTATTGAAACAATTAGTATTAATTAAACAGAACGCCAAGCAAACATTGTTATAACAAATACTCACAGCGGACGACCGACTTTTCGCGCGACGACGCTGTGCCTGATATGGACAGTGACCTGTACCGTAATGGGCCGGGCATCGGCGACGGTGACCTTAATTGAGATGCGCCGGGCATCGGCGACGGTAACCTGTACCGTGATGGGCCGGGCATCGGCGACGGTGACCTGGATCGATATGGGCCGGGCATCGGCGATGGTTCAAATTCGCGTTTGTATTTCTTTATTGGTCTAGTGACTTCGTCCACATAGTCAATGTCGTACACGTCACTTCGTGACGGCGATGGTGCCCAGACTTCATGTACTTTAAGTGGCTTTTTAGTAGCTATAAATTAAAGCGTTATTTTAAAATGTATAAAAATTGCAATGAAGATAACACCTACGGTTTTCAGGGCACACAATTAGGGCCTCCTGGTCATCCACAACGACGGGTGTGTTGGTTAGGTTAACGTCTTCCAAAAATCTTATGTGGGTGTTGATCGGCGTCATTTCCCTAGTGATGACCTGAACAATTGTGTGTTATGAGTATAAAATCATATATGTTATATTAATACCTATCCTACGGATTCCATTTGTTTAAAAATTAATTAAAAATCGAATAATAGTTCGATCAACTCGAATCGTACACCATTATATTCCACAAGTACCCAGCTACCATCCCTGATAGTTTCGTGTAAAAAAACAAAAGCCCTGTATGCACTGAGCTACCAGCTGGAGTCTGGCCGATCTCCTCGCAATCACGCGGTGGTTGTGCAAATTTCGATTTCTAAAATTAGTTAAAAATCGAATAACCGTGCGATCTACTTGAAACCTTTACCATTAGATTACAGATATGATACTTCGAAACCGGACTAAAGATGTTAAATAAATCTGTAAAAAGTGTAAAAAAAAAATCAAAAACGTTAACGTTAAATTTGTAGTGTTTATTGATTTAAATATCGGAGGAGATATTTCTTCGCTGAGTTTCCATTGATTTTGTGACTTTTTTAATGATTTTCAGTTTTCCGTTGATGAGTTGTGTGGTAAAAGCACGATTAAATCCTAATAAAATGGTGGTAATAAAATGCTATAAAATAAAAATAATGATTTAAATAATTTAATTATTACATGCGTTTCTCACTCTGCATCACAACCATCATGGATAATTATTTAATGTTTGTAGTTTGTTGAAGTTTAAAAACATTTTTGCAATCGTTCCACACCGCCCTGGTATGGGGCCATTGCAAAGAGTGCGTTTTTTTATGGTGGTGATCGCCTATAGCCCTAATTCACCACTCACCATCATCCGTTAGAAGGATTGAGAGATCAATGAGATAGTTAAACGGGTACTATAGTTATATTAATTTAACCGAGTATAACATACTAACCCTATTATGATAGTATGAGTTTAATTTGGTGGCTGTGGGTGAGTTGCGGCCCGGCGTGTCGTTTCCGGTTGTTGGCAACACTGTTTGTGTTCTGAGGGTTAAGTTCAGGCACAGCACTGAGGGAGTGATGAGTAGTGTAGTTGCGACATGCACCGAGTGAGTATGCGTCTGAGTCCGAGTCTGAGTCTAAATCCTAAGTATTGTAAAATATGATAGTTATAATAAATAATATTGTTTTCTTTAGCTAAATCTGGTTGTTCAACTTTATTGAAATAATTTATTGCTTTCTAACAATTCAGAAGTGGGATAGACACCGTAAAACTCGCCGCCGGAAAGTACGAAAAGTGCGTTGTCTAATCGCGTAAAGTGAAGTTGTGTGTGCGAAATTATTAACCATCCGACCATCGGTCTATTGTTCGTAAGTACGAAATCAACTGCCGTAGTGCTGTCCAAGGACTGCCGACTGAGTGCAAAACGGCGATTTGCACGAGCGTCTCATTGCAGCTTGGCAAATTGGCTGCTGCGCGCGCAGCTCCTCTTATCATACCATTATCACCGTTACTTTCAAATATTGTATATATATAATATTGTATTTATCTGTGGTATAAACTGATATAATTTACAAAACATGAATAGTGAACACCTTAAGAATTTTGGTAAGTATTTGTATAGTTTAATAATTTATTGTATATTTAAATATAATATTTGTTTATCCAAGTAACAAACAAAATGAATATGAACTAATGTAGTAAAAAGGTACAACTTTATATAAAAACAACTAAATTAAAAACATTCAAATTTATAGTAATAGGTATCTAAAATTTAAAAATGTACAAATTTCTACTAAGTTTGAAATATTGATTAATTTATAAAAATATTAATATGTCAATAAATATTATAAACTCATAAATGTATAGTTGCAATTCTATTAAATGCTATATGAATAATAAACTAATAAACACTATTATTATAGTTATTTTTATATTGCTTTAGTAAACCTAGTACATTTTATAACATTAACATAGTTAATATACAAATTTTAGTTTAGGTTATTAATATACTAATTAGTTAACTGAATTTTTGCAATTTTTTTATTCAGAAATTATGCAAATATTACACTCTATGACAAATGTATGTTCTTTAATAGGTAATATTTTAGTCAAATTATTTCAGTTTAGAAAGTAGTTTTTGTTAAATGAGCAAGTAAAGATTTCTATTATATTATTTGAATTAGGTATTTATCTATAGTACATCTTTCACATACTATGCATATTGAAATGTATGGGTATTTACTCTAATTATTAATTAAATTTAAAAATAAAAAATGTAATAATACGGTTTTGAGGTAATACATTTGTTTTTTAAAGTATTAGTATTCCTGATAGCAAAGACTATGTGCATACAAAACAATATTTTAGCATGAAGCACAATTAAAACCTTGTTGAATAGTATAAATTGAATAGCTAACCATGATACCTATAGTTGTACTTTCGTTAGGACCCTACCAAAAAAATATTAATAACAAAGTAATAATTGGTAAGTTTTTAAGTAATATTGTTTAGTACTTTTAAGAATATGAATGATCAAATACATTATGAACATTTATAGTCTCATTATTGTCATCTTTAAGTCCAGAAATAATTGCATTTACTTCATTTACAGAAGGCTTTGCTATTGATGTTTTGCTGGATTTCTTTTTTGTTGAATAAAGCCGAAGCTGTGGATCTATTTTCCTTTGAACATTGACTTCTTCAACTGTTTTTAAGTGAGTTTGTCCTCCTTCATTCATGATTGCTAAAACTTCTGCCAACTTTTTTTCAATTTTTTGTAAGTTTTCATTACTATATTCATTTGTTGAACTCAGACCCAAAATCATTTGTGTTTGGCTTATGATTGTTTGATTTTTGTGAGCTTTATGGTGACTAGAAGTTGCAACCATATCCATTAACTTTTTTTGCTCTGTCATATCTGAGTCTTGAAAAACAGTATTTTCAGTATTGCCATCTAAACTTATAAACTCGCGAGCACAAGCATGTATGTGTTTACAAATATTTGCTTTTATAACATTATCAATACAAGAGCATTGAAAAGTGTGAATGCAAATATCACACTTTTTGCATTTCAAACATGATGACTGTGTACATGTTTCATCAGTTTTTATAATATAGTGCTGCTGTGAGGGATTGGATAATGATCTGATAATATATACTTTTTTGTTTTCCACAATTTGTATTTGTTCTAGTTTAATTAATTTACTTGAGTTATGACTTTGACGTACTCTTTGGACTTTTTCAGTAGGGATATTTTTTGACAACTTAATCAAACGTTTGTATAGACTATCTCTGGAATATTTAATCAGAGCATTAATTGTTTTGTCCAAACGTTTTACTCTCTTTCCTTCCAAATATATGTGTTTTAATACTTTATGAAATGATTCCAAGTACATATTTGTATTAATCCCAAGTCTTAGTCGATAACAATAAGCCCAACATTCTGGTCGTTTTGAGTAATATTTTTCGAAAAACTTAGTTCTTTTACTTCTATAGTAATGTTATGTTTTTCAAACAGGTGAATCCTTAATTTTGAAAATTTAAACAAAGGTTCGTTACACTCATCATAAGGACAAATTATTCTTGTTTCTCTATTTTTATCGCCATTTTTATGATATTTTTTTATATGGGTATCTAAAGTTTTCTGAACTTTAAATGTTTTCTCACAAACTGTACAAATAAAATTATTTACATCTAAAGAATCACTACCGTGTATATTCCTTAAATGAGCATAAAGATTTTTTTTTTGTGTAAACTTTGTATCACAAATTGAACATTTAATTTCAGGTGCACTAGATGACATGATGCTCAGATGCCAAGATACAAACAAAAATAAAATACTAGCTTAATGAAAATCACAATAAGTATAAACACAGTATGAAGAATGAAGATTATGAAAAATGATAGTGTCAGAAACATTGGTCTGAGATTATTAACTTATTTTTAGAAGGTTTATGACTTGGAAATTTCTTGTTATTATGTATTATTTTAAATTTTCAAATATTTTGTATATAGTATCTGGACTTGAATAAAACATCATATATCTAAATATGTAGACACAAGTAACTAGGAATATTTCCTAATATTGATTAAACTAAAAATAATAATATACATTGTTAAACAATGTATAATACTACTTATAAATTATAATATGGGAATTTTCTAGATACTACTAGTCCATAGATACAATTGTATGGGATTCAATTTATAAAATTATATTAGAACCATTAATTATAACGCATAGAATGTGCCGCAATATTATTATTGTTATTTTTAAAATATAATAAGGACTATAGAAGTAATAGCTTAAATTTTAAAATGAATCTAATTATTTTTAATTTTATAAGTCACCACGAATGATTATGTTTTTGAATTACAACAAAATAATACAACATAATAATCATACAAATTTGAACTATGAATACTATTATGAACAATTATTATTTTACTAATGATCTATTTCTGAAACTAAAAATATTAACATTAGAACAACTGCCATCATAAATTGAAAATATTTTTAATTTCAAATTCACGCGCGCTTATACGGATTATCATATTTGAAAGTAACGGTGATAATGGTATGATAAGGGGAGCTGCGCGCGCAGCAGCCAATTTGCCAAGCTGCAATGAGACGCTCGTCGATTTGCAAGGTAAAGAAACACGTGGTTGGCGTGTCATAGGGGAACGAATTGTCATAACCTCAAATAGACGTTACCCCGCGTATCACTTGTCGATACCAGAACCTGTACGATAACGGAATCGAGCTTATCACTTTATCAGTGTAATCAAACTGTGATAAAAACGAGAAATGTCAACAAAATTCAACGACATCGAGAATAAGTAAGTAACGTTCGTATTTTACAATACGCGATGGCTGACGGAAGTAACCAAATGGGTCCAACACAAGCAGCGGTTCACGAAATATTGCGTCAGCTGATCCAGCAGAATAATACGCGGGATCAGCAAGTCATGAACATCTTGGAGAATATAGCGAGTCAGCGAGCTCAACCAGTACTAGCGACGGGTACCATACCGAATTTAAACGCAACAATCGGAACATTTGATGGGGAATCTGACGATGCAGGCCACGCACAAGGATGGATTTAATCACTAGAAACTACTGCGTTACTTAATCAATGGCCCGACTTGTATAAGTTAGAAGCAGCGCGTTCACATTTGACTGGTGCTGCCAGAAATTGGTACCTAGCTAGACAATCTGAAATTGAAACATGGGCAAAATTCAAGGAACAATTTGAACAAATGTTTACGACAGCGATTAGTGTGTCGGAACAGTGGAAACGACTACAAGCTAGAACACAGCAACGAAACGAAACCGTTTATGCGTATTTCCACGACAAAATGCGTATGTGTCGACAGCTGAAATTGAGCAAGTCGGAGAGCAAGAAACTGATGTGTATGGGATTACACTCTAAGGATATGTGCAACGTCCTTATGAGTAGAACTCACAATGAAGAATATGAGGTATTGCAAGACCTACGAGAGTGTGACGAAGTGTTTCAAAGCCGAAACGAACGTTTCAAATCGACATCAAATAGTAAGTCCACACTTAGTAAAGAGGAAAATTTTAAAAATAAAACTAACCCCATGAAAAGTCCGTCGACGCAAACACAACCAATAAAACCAGTTATGCCGGCAGCTTTCAAACGAGAAAACCCCGAGGTGAAATGTTATAATTGTCAGTTGTTAGGTCATATCGCGCGAGATTGTCCACAACCGCGGCGACCGTTAAAATGTAGTAAATGCAAAGCGGAAGGACACACAGCCAAATACTGTACTACTCGATCGCCGGATATAGCATTGGTAGAGCAGAACCAGACTGACAATCGGACAGTGTATATTAAGGATGTATATCTGAATAATAGTACGGATGCGATCAAGGGATTGGTGGACACCGGTAGTACCCTCACCATAATCAGACGAAGTCTAGCGGAGCGATATGGTATGGATATCACACCCCGAAAAATACAACTAAGAGTGTACGGTAACATACCATGTGTAATCGGTAGCGGTGACACCGAAGCTGAGGTAAGAATTGACACTGTGTCAGAAAAAATAAAATTGTTAGTGGTAGAGGATCACATGCAGAACTTAGACATTATCATCGGGCGAACGTTCATCAACTGTGCAAATGTATCGTTTATCAAAACTGCGGATCAACTCATATTTGCTTACGATATGCCATTGCCCTTCACCAACGAACCGGACGAAGCGCTCAGCGAACAGAGACCTTTTACTCCAGTAACGGTACACGAGTTACACGAGATACCAGCAGCAAGTGTGAAAATGGTAGAGGTGGATGTGAACTCAACTATTGTAGAAGTGTTGATGGTGAATCATGGTGATGAACCAGTTCAGTTGAAAAAGGGGACACAAGTCAAACGCCTACACATGGCAGTGCAGCAATCGGGACCAAGTCAGCCATACGAAGAACCAATAACCAGGGAAAAGGTCAAGTACAACCCACATTTCACTGAACATGAAGTAACACAATTAATTAATTTGTTAACCGAGTATAGAAAATGTTTTGCGTTCAATATGTTTGAAGTAGGGTGCACAAAAGCAATTACCATGGATATTGTTGATAACAACGTACCTGTCAACAGTAAACCTTACCGTGCCAGCGCTCAGGAAAGGGACACCATTGATCGAATTGTGCGAGAGTGGAAGGCAGCAGGGATAGTCAGAGAAAGCGAATCACCGTATGCGTCTCCAGTATTACTCGTAACAAAGAAAAGTGGTGAACCTCGTTTAGTCGTGGACTATAGGAAACTAAACTCCCAAACAGTGAGGAAAGTCTATCCGACGCCAAACATGGATGACCATTTGGAAGTTTTAACAGGGGCTAAAATGTTCTGCACTCTTGACCTAGCATCAGGTTACCTACAAGTACCATTGACCGAGGAAGCCAAAGCTAAAACAAGTTTCATAACACCAACCGAAAAGGGTGAGTTTGAAAGAATGGTTTTCGGGTTAATTAACGCCCCATACGAATTTTCACGTTTAATGAAAAAAGTTATGCAGCATCTAGAACGTGATGTAGCAATGTGGTATTTAGATGACATATTAATACCAGCAAGAAGTTTCGAAGAGATGATGATCAGATTAAGGAAAGTATTGGATGCGTTAAGTTCCGCAAGTTTAACTCTAAAACTTGAAAAATGTCACTTTGGATATGAGGAGGTAACATATTTGGGTTTCAGATTATCAACGCATGGAATCAAACCAGGAGAAGACAAAGCAGCAGCCATACTGAAAATAGAACACCCAACCAATCGACATGAAGTGAGACGATTCTTGGGTTTGACCGGATTCTTCAGAAGATTTGTGCCACAGTATGCGCAAATAGCCAAACCACTGACCGAGCTGACCAAAAATTCAGTACCATTCGAATGGGGACATTCGCAACAGGAAGCATTTGACACACTAAAGGTAAAACTTACCAGTAATCCAGTCTTACAATTATTTAACCCAAATGCTTATACGGAATTACATTGTGATGCCAGTCAACAAGGGTTGAGTGGACTACTACTACAGCGAAGGAACGAAGACAAGTTACTACATTTAGTCTATGCTGTGTCTAAGAAAACCACCACAGCAGAAAGAAACTATCATGCGGGAAAACTAGAACTCATGGCAATAGTTTGGAGCGTCACCCGTTTAAGACATCTACTGATAGGAATGCAGTTCATCATAGTGACAGATTGTCAGGCTATAGTGCATCTCAACACTAAGAAAACAGTAAATCCACAAGTAGCTCGATGGGCAAACTTGCTAAGTGAATACAACTATGAGATACGTCACAGACCAGGGATTAAGATGGCCCACGCAGATGCTTTGTCTAGAGCTCCCGTGAATACATCAACAGACACTGAAGTAGAACTTGAAGAGCTAGAGATCATAATAACAATGCAAAGAAGTGATGAAAACATATGTTCACTAATCAAAATAATGACAAAATCAACTGAAGAGCGATCATTAAATGAACAACGTGAAGTTAGGGATTATGTCATGCGTCAGGGCATAGTGTATAAAAGAGTCAGGATTCAAGGAGAAGAACGCCAACTATGGGTTGTTCCAAACGCAATGCGGAAGAGTATAGTGGTGCAGAATCATGACATGGCTGGACATTTCGCACTTGACCGAACGGTTGCGAAGATCTTGGAGCGGTACTACTTTGCCCGAATGAGGAGTTATGTGCGAGTTCATATCAGATGCTGCCCAGAGTGTATACTAACTAAAATACCAAGAGGCCGACCACAGGGAGAACTCCATCCGATACCACCTGGAAGAAGACCATTTGAGGTGATACATTTAGATCACATAGGACCCTTTGTACGATCAACTGCAGGGAAAAATTACATACTAGTTTTAGTGGACAATTTGACCAAATATGTCAAGTTATACCCAGTGCGAGCTTGTAATGCTGAAGCAGTCATAAGAAGTTTACAACAGTTCATATTAAACTATGGAGTACCTAAGAAAGTCATCAGTGACCGAGGAACAGCTTTTACAGCCCGACAATTCGGCGAATTCTGTATGAGTAAAGGCATAAATCACATACTAACATCCGTACGACATCCGCAGTCTAACGGACAGGTTGAGCGGGTTAACTCAACATTAGTACCAGTATTGCAAGCAAATATGCAGAACGATAATACATGGGATAAGAATATACTTGAGGTGGAGAGTCAACTCAACAATGTGCAGAATAAAACCACAGGGGAAACACCATTTCGATTGTTACACGGATATTATCCAAGTTTCCATGATGGAATACTAAGACATTTAGTAACTGAGGAACAACCAACGGATGTAACTAAACTGCAAGAAAAGGCCAGAGAAACAATTGAAAAAGAACAAAGAGTATGGAAGACCAGATATGATGCCAAACACATTACACCAGCCCAATATAAAGTAGGGGAAGTGATTTTTCTGAGAACACCACCCAAACACACCGGAGAACCAACCAAACTGCAGCCAAAGTATAGAGGACCGTTTGTAGTCAGTAAAGTGCTACCCAATGATACATATCAGATAACTGATGTTATAGTTAAAGACGGACGGCAATACAGGACAACTGTACATGCAACACACATGAAAGGGTACAAACTGGGACCAGATTCAGATGATATAGGAGAAGAAGTAGACAATACCAGTCAGGAAGGAGAAGAGGGAACTGAAACTGAAGACCAGAGACAACAGGAAACGGATGCAGTCAAACCAGAGTCACCAACCAGGACTAGAGCGAGGAAACCGCCTAAATGGATGGAAGATTATGTTTAAAAAAAAAAAAAATACCATAATTTTGTACTTATACTTGTTTAAATATCTATAATTATTATTATTTGAATTAATGACTGAGAATGTTAATGAATAAGCTGATAGTCATAAGATAATTATTATATGTTGCTATATATTTGTAAAAAAAAAATTATTATTACATGTAGAACTCAGCGAGGACGCTGACTCAAAGGATGGCCGAATGTTGGCAACACTGTTTGTGTTCTGAGGGTTAAGTTCAGGCACAGCACTGAGGGAGTGATGAGTAGTGTAGTTGCGACATGCACCGAGTGAGTATGCGTCTGAGTCCGAGTCTGAGTCTAAATCCTAAGTATTGTAAAATATGATAGTTATAATAAATAATATTGTTTTCTTTAGCTAAATCTGGTTGTTCAACTTTATTGAAATAATTTATTGTTTTCTAACACGGTGTTGGAGACCGGTGAATTGCGGCCCGATAATATTTTAGTTATAGGTGAGTTGCGGCCCGAAAAATTATCATTATCTATGTACCTATTGGCTAGTAACTACATTATGTACGATGTATCTGTCAGATGGCTATACATATAGTGATAAACGAATTGTTCGATACGTATGGCAAGTTATATAGCAATACAGCCTGCAGAAAATGACCAAATTGTGAAATTTACAGACTACATTTTTAAAAACTATATTTCTCCAGACGCTATGTTCTCCCCAAATATTTGGGCACAATTTACTGCTAGCTGCAACCGTACTACTAACAGCTGTGAAAGTTTTCATTCAAAACTAAATATGTCGTTCTACACTAGCCATCCTAACATTTATAACTTCGTTGATGTGTTACTAGAAGTTCAATCTGAAAAAAACATAAGATTCAGAAGTAAAAGTGTAAGAACAAAGAAAATGTGTGAAAAGGGAGCTTTCATTAGAGAGCAGATGACAAAACTCGAGCTAAAAGAAATAGATAATTTTGAATTAGTTAAATCGTTAAGTTTCAAGTTTTTTCCAAAACAATAGAATATTATTATCATAATATATTATATTCTAGAAACGCAAAATATTATTAGTTAATTTTTTTTTTATTTATATTCTTGAAATGACAAATATTAATAATATTAGACAATACTAGAAAATACGTAATATTAATAAATTTATATTGTGATGTTTATATACATGTACTATGTATAGACTTTAGTATATATTATATATTATGTAGTATATAGATTATTGTATGGCCGCAATTCGTACGTACCTCTCATAAACCCGGGCCGCAACTCGTACGCTATTTAGGGTTTGGGCCGCAACTCACCAACACCGAATTTGGTAAATCAAAAATTATTAATTGATGGAAAACGGAAAAAAACAATAATAGTAACGCAATGGCCGAGTTTTCTTTACCTGGTTATGCAAGTATGAGTCTAAATATATGTGATAGAGGATGTACAGTTTTGATGTTTACTGCACACTTTTTGAACCAGCCGTACACAACAATATCCGACATTGACAATTGAATACACTGTTTGACACACTCACAACTGACTGTCCGACCAAGGCACTGTAATATTAATTCTACTTAATTGTAGTAACCGAAATTCAATAATTGTGTGTTATGAGTATTAAATGATATATGTCATATTAAGTACCTATACATAGTATTAGCTTCTAATAATTGGAATTGTCATTAACGTAGACGTAGATCTGGTAAGATGATGCTGGGCTAGCGCAATGCCAACGATTTATGGCGTGTCCGTTGAAATTGTTGGCGAATTTTTCGCACTTATAAACGGATAAAGGATGAACATGTTAGCCCATGGATTCAATATAGATACAAGGTTATTGCAATAATAACCCCAATATATCATTTATAACGTTAAGGAATTAAAATGACTACAATATATACTAACTATATATTAACTGTACCCTCGCCCTGCCATTGTATTTTGCTTTGATAACAATATTAGCTAAGTACAATATCTTGTATATTTAAGTTATCTGTTAGCCCAAGTTTCGATGTCATTAAACAAATTAATTAAATGAAAACTTGAGTGTTGACACTATAACCATTAAAATGAAACAGAAAAATAAAATCATCGTCAGGCACATCAAACGCTAATTGTGTACAAATAATAACTGAAGTATTTATATCATCTTGATCCCCAATAACGGACCACCACATCTTAGAACTTCATCAGTATTGTTTGATTGATTTTCAATAACTCGGGTTTTACGATAAATAGCTCGTTCATATCTTGTAATTGCTGTAATGTGGGTCATTCAATTTCTTTCTGTAAAATATACGTAATTATATTAGCACCGCCGTCCGGCGGGCTCTCGACCGGAAATCCAAATTTTTTTGCTTGACCCAGTCCTACGACTCCTAGAATATAGAAATTACAAATTAATAAAGTATATTAAAAACCGTTAAAAATTAGAAACTTATTCACGGGCTATAGTATACTTACTACTTCAGGTTTATTATATTTTTATACTTAAATGGTATGATTATGACATTGTTATTAAACAAAATCGACGAAATAACCTTGTACAAGGTTAAATAATATATCAATCGAAGTGTAATTTTCAGCTCTAGGCCATGAAATAATTATTAAGATCATTACTAGGTACACCGCCAACAAATGTATTCCTATACAAAAGAACATTAGAAATGCGGCAGCCGGCGGTCTTTAAGGCCATGTGAATTCCTCACAGGTTACTATAGCTGGCGGCCAAAAATTCTTGATTCATAACCATGTTCTTGTGGTCGCTGGCGGCTGTATGGCGCTCAACTTGTTTTAAGTACTTAAGTCGCCTAGTAGGTTAATTCGGTGGAATTATTTTGAAAATTAGCATAAATCACAAACTAAGTTGGGTTTAAAATTTGCAAACAAATTAATAGGTGCACTCATAGGGTGGAAGAAAAATAAAATAAAAAATTAAACTTGCTGCTCAATTATTAAGTACACCAACAGCCAGTGCACTGAAGTGTTTATCACATTAATAGCTTTCAACAATTTAAGAACAGCGAAGCTACAAATGATGCAGAGTAGACTAGTTAATATTGGATTTCTTAAATTCAAGGAGCCCTTTTTCCAAAGCTAACAAGTGCCCAATTTTAGAACTAATACATAGTATTAGCTTCTAATAATTGGAATTGTCATTAACGTAGACGTAGATCTGGTAAGATGATGCTGGGCTAGCGCAATGCCAACGATTTATGGCGTGTCCGTTGAAATTGTTATTATATTTGTTATTAAATTGTAATTATATAGGAGTGCTGCAGTGCTAGTATCAAGATCCGGACTTTCCAAATCAGTCATCCACGCGCTTACTCTGAGTTTTAAGGACTTACGGAATTCATTCCAATTCGTTTTACTCCAGTCGTATTTTACGAAAGGATCTGTACTGTCATTCAGGCGCGCACAGTTCTGTGTGACGTCGAAGCTTATGATCGCATGATCGCTCGACGTCAAATTGTGGACTGCGGTCCAGTCCGCCACATTCACGCCGTAAGACGTAAGGGTCACGTCCAAGCACGCAGACCCACGATTTATAAATGTATTCACACTGCCCGCTAGGTTATTTACGGTAAGGTTTTTCCGACCTATGAGGTCCACGACCATCTCTCCGCGGTCGTCCGAGAGACGGTCGTGCCAAAGCGTAGACCGTGCGTTCACGTCCGCGCAGACTAACACGTTGCCGCTTACCGAGTCCAGTACGGATTCGAGAGCGTCAACATGTGTCTGTGTTGGTTCCGAAAATTGAAAGTATGCTGATATCAGCACTAAGCGGCGATTTCCAACAGTGAACACGGCTACGGAAATATGGGGGGTACTGAGATGCTGCAAACTCAGGATGCCGACAGCGGGGTTCGCGACGACGATGGCGGCTTTAGGCCCGACCCCGCTCGCTACTACCCTGTACCGACTGTCGAACAGATAGATCCCTATACAGTCGGTGGCTGGCTCTTGTATTAAGCAGACGTCAATACTTCTACTCGACAATAGCCCTTAAATCTCATGCATCACCCTCTGTGATCTCCTCGCATTGATTTGTATGACTTTAATTGTCGTCTGTCGTCACCAGTTATTTCAAGTCTACAGGAGTCGGTATCGGTTGTGCTACTATCCGACCCTGCCGTTCCTTGGCGAGAGCCTGTCTCATTTTGAACTTGTGCGTCATCTGAAAAGGAACAAATTGATTCACGCTGGTTAAAAACCTTTCCAGTGTGATATTTGCAAGACAAGACACAGGGATTTATCAAATCTCAAGTGTCACAACATGTGTTGGCACTTGGCATTCAAACATAAAGACTTACATTTGCGTCATTGATAAATGTAAGGAAAGACCAAAAGCTTTTAAACAAAAAATCATATTTTAAAATTCATTGGTGGTGTTATTAACATCTTGTTTATATAGTAATATAATATAGGTAACGTAGAATTTAGATGGGTAAGCACTTTTGTAAGACGACGTCCGCCGCCATTGAATAATGCATAGTGCATAAGTCAGTCGTGAAATAGTCTTATACTCGACTACTGTGTGTACCTACGTTTTATCTAAAAAATAAAAGTATTAATATAATTTTAATTCATTGCGTTAAAATTCAATTCCTATAATAATAAGTTTCAATAGCGTACTGTAGTATTTTCGAGAGAGCGAACTAATTCTTTAACAGAGGATAACAACTCAAAATTGACTACGAAGGAACAAACCCAAGTAAGACATAACAGTGGGCACACTGTGAAATCAGATACAAATGTGACATTTGTCACAAAACTTATTCCACAAATGACAATGTGAATAGGCACAAGAAACATATACCTACATAATGTTTTGCCTAAAAATAATAAATAAAAATGTGTTTAATTTTATTGAATTATTGTATCTTTGCAATTCATCTAATGTAGTTATACATTTCCTTTTATTTTGAGCAGACCATGAGTCAGGATAAATGTTGAGTATCGTGGGATGACTCTGTTTTATACTGTTCTTCAAGAATATTAAAATAGTTTAGACTATTG